CAAAGACAGGATAACTGAGTGTTCTTGGAGTTTCTGCATTTTCTATTCTATTCCATTGATCTACAGGTGAGTTCTGTGTTTTTCCCAAGATGGTTCTGTTTTTATCACTCTAGCTTTGTAGTATAACTTGAAGTCCGGGATTCTGTAGGCTCCGTAATGTTCCACTGGCTCCATAATATTATACAGGTATTTTTGTTTAATTCTAGGAACTAATGAGGCTCATTGATTATTTAAGAGGGCATCATTTAATTTCTATGTGTTTGTATGATTTCTGTAGTTTCTTTTGTTATTGATTTCTAGTTTCACTCCTGTGATGAATGACATGATTTTGATTTTTTGGAATTTACTTAAGCATGCTTCATTGGGTAGTACATGATCTATTTTTGGAGAACATCTCGTGTACTGCTAAGAAGAATGTATTTTGCTATGGTAGAGTTTCTCTGGAAGGGTCCCATAGTATCATTAATGTTACAAATGTAATCTGGTTGATGACTTACAAAAAGAACCAACTAATAGCAACAATTTTGTAACCCCAGTAACATTAAGCAAGTCAGTTCCAGTAATGTCATTTAAAACAAATTGGATATTGACATACCATAAGAACCAATTATAGATCACCCTAATCCATACAGAAGAAATTCAGAATTATAGTATAAGCATGAAGACAACCCAAGCATTGACCCACAGCTAATCTATACTAAATGAGACAGTTACATCTCTGCTAATATTAGGAAAGAATACAACAGGGACTTTATAGAGTCAGCTATCTGTAGACCAATAAGACTAATGATAAAACTATTAAAGATATATGAGGTTTGGAACAGGGGAATCCAAGAAGAAAAATTTAAAACTTCAAACCACACAAAATAAAAAAAAAAGAGAGAGAAATGGACCACAGGATTCTATGAGGTAACAGAAGACACTGATGTGAAATATATGATTAAAAAGCTAGAAAAGGGCCAGGGAGATGGTTCAGTGGAATAAGCGCTTCCCTGGTGAGTGTAAGGGCCTGAGTTCAATCCCTGGTTTTGCCAAGAAAAAAAAAAGATAGAAAAATGAAATTGTATGGTGAATAAAAATAAGAAAATATTAAAGGAAGAAAAATTAAAAGGGAAGACAGGAAAAGAATGGGGAAAAGAAAAAGGAAATAAAGCAAAGAAATGAGACAAAGAAAATCCCTCAAAACTTAATAAACTAATGTGGAAGAAAAAGAAACCACTCATACTGATTAAAAAAATGAAAGAAAGAAAAATAAAAAAAAACAAGAAAGAATGAAAAGACATTTTTGTTATGATATTTCCCAATCATTTTGTGTTGCAACTCAGCCTGTCTTTGGTGGTAAATTCTGGGCCTGAGAATTGGCTCAGTTCTGGAAATGGGCAAGAGATCATGACGGGAGGTCCAATTTCAGCCCTCTGCCCCTCCCTCATGATAGCCTTTGCTTCTGCAAGTTAAGGATTTTCCTTGCTGGTTGTCCATTCATCTTACCCCAGGAGCCTTGTGCTTTCTTTGCCACCTTTATTGGTTCCTGCCAGTCAGGCTGCCAGGCTTTGCTGCTGGCTAAAGCAGTTCCACGTTTATCCATCATCTGAGAGTTAAGCTGGGGGCTCCACTCACTCCTGCAACAACTAGCAAGGGCACTTCTGTGGGGAGTGACAGAACTCTCATTGCCTCCAGCATGAAGACAGAGTTAAGCAGTGTACTGCCTGCCGTCAAGTCTTCACCTTCCAACCTATTTTTAAAGACTGAAAGTACAACACTAAATTGAGTCAAATTAAATAATATTCCTTTCTGTAGGTTTTTAAAAATATCACTTAGGAGAGAGTGTGATGTGATTTTCCACAAACAGAATGTAAAAAAGTCTAGTTCCTTATTTGGTCAGGCTGCACTTACTTCCAAACTGGCATCAGCTGGACTTTTGATGCTCTTTAGGGTTGTAGGTGAAATAGATCTGTGTCATTTTAACTTGAATCCTCTTATTGTGAATATCATTTCACATGGTCATATTATTTTTATATATATATTAAACAGTGGTTGTTATATTACACATTGTTGTCTTCAGTGTAGTTGCTCAGATTGCAGATTGGCATTTTTTTTTTATTCAACTGAATTATCATTATTCTACTTAAAAAAATGAGTGGTCTTTTTCTTGGTGGTTTGTAAGTTCTTTATATATCATGGTATATTTTTTCTTGTCGTTTGACTTTTGAAAATCTATTTTTTCTTTCAGTACCAGGTATCGAACTCAGGACCTTGCACTTGCCAGGCAGGCGCTTATGCCACTGACCTAATTCCCTGGTCCCTGAAAGTCAAATGTTGCCAAAGAGCTTTCTTTACTTTTGTATTTTCTTTCCTTTCTCCTTCCCTTCTCTTTCTGGATTCTTCATTACCAGTTTTTTTCTAGCCTAAGCCATTGTACTAGGCTTCTAATAATAATAACCTGGCTTTCATGCCTGTTCCTGTCAGATTTTCTCCATATAAACAAAATAAATTTTTAAAAACAATGTGTGAATATTTCACACCATTGCTTCAAATCCTTCAGTGTTTTTCATTGGTCTTAGAGGAAGACCTTAAAATGATTTGCAGTGGTTGTCTGCTGCACTCCCTGCCCTGTCTTTTTCTGTTGCTTCATTTTCAGCCAATCATTGTATCCTGGCCTTCTTTTCTCCCTCTCTGCTGAGCTCTGCCCCCTTCACACTTACCATCACCTGTCCATTTTCATTCCCCTCTAAATTTGCCTGGACAATTTGCTTTTTATTTTGGGCTTAGCTTACATAGCATTTCAGTTTGTAGTGTTTCTCTCCTCCAGATTGGGTTCTCTGTTCATATCCTTATTGCATCCTGTAAAAATCTTTCTAGCTTCCAACCCAGCCATACAGCTTACACAATGAACCGTTTGTTCAGTTGTCTGTGTGTGCTATTAGCATCAAAACTGTTGGCAGGAATTCTCTCTCTGTCTTCCTAGCACTTAGCAAGGGCCTGGCATATATGAAATACCTAGAAAATAATGGTTAAAACCATTGGTTGAAGGAAGGAAGGAATTTCTGAAGTTTGAGAGTTTGAAGACCATTTGAGCATTATGCCAATGAATTTATGCAGTAGAAAAGGAAGAGTCAATGAAATACTTTATAATAAGGGATGGTTTGCTGTTTGTTCTATTCTTGTTCTATTCTTCCAACTCTTCCAACATATTGGATTTGGAATCAATAACTATTTCATGACTATCTCTATAGGATCAGGAATCTACATGGGTACATAGTAGGTCATCTTTAATTTTGATTTAAACAAGAGCCTTTTTATTGGTTTTAGATCTTGAGTTAGAAAATGAATCTCTATATTTAACTTTTCTCCCTATTCCTCTCTCATTGAAATGATTAATCTAGGCATCTCTGAGCCATGTCATCATATTTTATGATATGAGTTGACATCACAGTGTTGGGAAGCACAGAATTTGATAATAATGACATACTCAGTGCAATTCTGTTAAGAAAAGAAAATACACATGTGATTATCAGGCTTGTTTTTTTTTAGTTTCATTCCACATGTTTTTTGGACATAATTTTATTGATAAACAAATAGCAAGGAGACAGTTTCAAATCAAATCGTTAGGACAGTTTCAATAATTAACACGCTGCATACAATCTTCTTAGTGGTTAATTGCTGTACAAGATAGGGACTTGATTTCCTATTTACAAACAGCATTAGAACAAATCATTCTATTCATTAAGAGAATGTAACTATATATCTATCCTAACCACTTTGAATACACAGATACAAAATGGACATTCATCTGTATACCCTTTTTTTGGGTTAAGTTCCTTTATTTGAATATTATAGGTGTGTAAACTCAGCAAAATAGTCTAAAAGAGTACAGTAGCCCATAATAGTATTGGGTCTTCTGCTTGACTGGAAATGTCAGAAATTGTTGACCCGAGTCCCAAACAGCTCAACATAATAGCATGGCTTTACTTCTTGTATTTCATTTTTATACTTTTCTACTGGCTGGTTAAGACCAAGGTAAAGCAGGACCTATGCAAGAAGAGTTTTAGCTTTTGGATCTGATAAGGTCAGTGAAATCCCTTCAGGATTTATCCTGAGATCCTGTACCTCAGATTGTAGAACCTTTGTCAGTGTCAGCCATGTGGGTGAGTCACGGCCATTGTTTGGCCAATGTGCTCTCTGTAAAAGCCTGAGAGAATGTTTCTCTCCATATGACTCTCCTTAGGCACACTCTACATCATCAATCACTTTTCTCTTTGGCCCCACAATCTCCTTGATCAGAAAATTTGGGACACTACTGAGGTACATGACGTTACAGTACAAGTTCTCATATGTCCTGAGTCTTAATTGAACTTAGAAGGCTAGGGTCAAAATGTTGGCTTTCCTTGCAGCCCCCCTTTTTCTCTAATTTTGGTCTGCAAACTTAGGTTGTTAACCATCCAGAATTATCAGGTATTGAAGTAGAAAATTGACTTGTCTTTCATTTTTTTCTTCTAGAAATTATTAGATAATGATTTAGTAATAAACATGAGAATAACAAACTAATAGAGTGATAGCTGTGCTTCTTTACAGAATGACTCAGCAATTTTTTGTTTTAATAATATTAGGCCTCACCTTCATTTAAAAAAATTTTATTATTGACATTTATTGAGTACTCATTATTATGGACATTAGCATAAGCATTCTAAGCAATTCTCACCTAATTATTCCAACAATTTTATGATGGTGGTATCAGCCCCATTTCCAGGTAAGGAAATTAAGATAAAGAAGTAAAATGATATGTGATATACAGTAGTTACTAAGCAGTGAAACAGATTCAAAATGGGGTCTTTTGTCTTCAAATTCAAAGCTCTTTCTATTTTGTTGCTTTGTTCCTTTGGATTATCTGAATGATATTTTCTAGAACAAAACACAAACTAGTGCATCTATGCAATACATATATGTCTTATTTTTAAAACAAACCAATACACAGTGATAATCAAAGATGATCAAACAATATTTTATAGACAGAGGGCTGTAATCATTACAGATTTCACACATATTGTTGCAATACACTGAACATATCTCTGCAGCACTCTGAGTAGTTTCCTACTTTTGATGGGATATTTTTTCTGAAGGTTGAGAAATGCCACATGAGTACCCTTACCTATTAGGCTACTAAATGCAGTATGATTTTCAGGCAGTTGTAACAAAGAGCACCAAATGAACATCCTGTACTTTTTTGGATATTCACTATAGCCTTTTAATAAGACTTGCAAGTGCTTTGTGTTCAATCCATATAACAACTCGTTCTCTTTATTTTCAAAATTGCCCATCAGGTCTTGTTTTAATATTCTAGTCTGGATTTTGCCTTCTCTAGACTTCGCTGGCTGCTGCACTCTTCCCAATGTTATTTTCATCTTAAGATCACTGGCACTCAATCTATTCTTAGGCAAATCTTCAATCACTTTCACTAGAGGAGGAGGAGGCTTATTTATTTCATGTGTTAAAGCTTGAACTGAATATATGTTCAGACTTCCATTTTCCATAATAGATGCGATGTACCACCCATGTGGGCTAATTACTGATGAGCTACTTCCTTCATCAAGGCTTCCGACTTCAAAGAGAAGTTTACAAGTCTGTATATTGACAAATCTCATAATTCCATCTTGACTTAGCACGCCAAGAACCTGATTTGAACCAGCATCGAAACAGTCAGGAAGAAATTCAGGATGTCGAATAGCTCTGACTTTAGTAGGCATCTGGATAATTCTGAAGAGCTGTGTAGCTTCTAAGCACCACAAATGAAGATGGTTTGATTTGCCTCCAGCAGCCAGAACTCAGCCATCTCTGGTCACAGCAAATACTTTGTATAATATACTAGAGCTTTCAGGTGGAGCTGGCAATTGGCATTTACAGAAAAGAGTATCACACTCCCAGGCAAAGATGGAATTATCTTTAAAACAGCTGAGGATGGTGTTACTTAGAGGTAGGAAGAAAACCTTCTGTATACCCACAGACTGGTGAATATTCAATTTTCTTTTTCTCTGAAAGGTATCCAGGTCCCACAGTTGTGCTGTCTCAGAAGAAGTGGTGATGGCATATCTCCCAGATGCATGCATGGATATTGAGAATACTGATGACTCATGCCCTCTCATCCAGTGAACCAGCTCCTTGGTGACTGTATCAAAACATTTCATAGAATAATCTTCTAATGCCACAAGGAATTGAGACTTTCTACAAAGATTAAAGGCCAGAGCTGTGCAAGCTTGTGCTGTTCGCTGAACAAGATTAAACCTGTTTCCATGCAAGTCAAAAACATAGATATTTCCTTGATGGTCCCCAGCAATTGAACAATCTCCTGAGCCATCAAAAGCCACATTCAAAAATCACATAACTTTTAGATGATAATCAGAAGTGCTATGTATGATGTTCACTATAATTCCATCTCGAGTGGCCGGTGAGGGCTTGCAGTGCCATATCTTGCCGCTCTCCTTGTTGCCCAGGTCCGTGCTCTGCATGGCCTCACCTTCATTTTGTAATGCTTTTTATTTTCAAATTCCATAATCAAAATTAAGTAATTAATCCTCATATTAAGCCCTGCAAGGCAGATAAGCATTATCTTCATTTTACAGATTAAGCCAAATGTACCATATTCCAAGTGATTAATGCTTTGAAATTTCTAGCCCCAAATGGTCTATGTTCCTCTGGAAACATGTGGAAACCAAAATTTACATAGTAATTATGTGTTCAATTGTGCTGAGAAAGCAAGTGGCAGGCCCAGATAATATTAGGAAAAGAAAGAGAGAAAGAAAGATACCGGTAAAGTACAAAAAGAAGAAAGCAGTTTTTAAAATTCTTGTTGAGTGATAATATTATTATTCATCTGCAGTGACTCTGTCCTCACAAGTGCTTTCATGTTAAGAACAAAAACAAAAAAACTCCACAAAAGCCTTGGAAAATGTGGTTTAATGCACAGAATAAATCCAGTGAAATGGAGGAATTTGCATCTTGACAGAGGAAAGAGAAGCCACACGAGACAACGACGATGCACGGCTGTGTCCTTAGCTGTTAGTCCACAAATTCTGGCATTTGTTTGCACTCTGCTTACTATTAATATGCTGTCTGTGAGAAGAGAATTTGTGTAAGAGAATTTGTATTTAAAAGAGCAACTGTGAAATGTTAATAAGAATGTAATTCTGCAGCCTTCCACTATAGCAGGACTCTGACAAATACACCATTACTGTTCCGGAAAAAGAAAACCAAGCACATTTCTTTCTCTTCATGGTAGAAGGATAAGTCATGGTTGTCAGTGAGAAAATGAGCAAACTTGTATCTCTCTCTCTCTCTCTCTCTCTCTCTCTCTCTCTCTCTCTCTCTCTCTCTCTTTCTATCATCTAATTGTACACCCTGTTTCACTGTGTTCTGAAGAATGGCCAACTCTGTGCATGAACAGAAAATAAGGGTTGGGGGCTGAGGAGACAGCTCAGCAGTCTAAGCGACTGCCTGGCAAGTGCAAGGACCCAGGTTCAGTCCCCGGTACCACATGCTGTACCAGCCCCAGAACCTCGGGCACCCCATACTGACCACCAGAACTGGGCATGGTGAAGCATGCCTGTAATCCCAACACTGGGGAGACTGAGACAGGAGGATCACTATGAATCTGAGCTGCATAGCGAGACCCTGTACCATTTAAGTAAATAAATAAGATTAAAAACAAAATATGGATTGATGGAATTTCAGCTTGGTGAGAGCAACTTCTTCAGTACTGTCTGACATTTTGCTTAAGTGCAAGGAATGTCACTGTTTAGAAATTCAGGGTCTTCTACTTGTAATATCATGGAGGAATAGTTTTCTGGAGAATCCTTCATGGAAAAAGCATCTAGAAATATTTAAAGAATTATTGCCTAGATGAGCTATGAGGAAAAGAGCAGAAATAACTGGAAGATATGAATTAGAAAGCGTGGAGGGGAACTAGTTCCTTTTCATGTGGGAAGGGTGTCAGGAAGTGGAGGAATGGCTGAGGGAGGAGAAGGAAAATAAAATCAAATAAAGGAAGGATGAAATCAAGAGGGGAAGGAGGGAAAGGGGACATAAAAAGGACAAAGATGAATATGTGTGTACACCAACTTTCTAGGTTGAATGTGATAATTACATGCTGCAAACCCGTGCTAATGAACGTACAAAATTTTAAATAGAGATGGAGAACATCACTGACAGGGGTATGGGAGACTGATGTGGGGACTCTCACAAGGTAGAAGCTTGAGTCACAAAGCTGTATCCTCCCGATTCTCCTTCCTGCTCGAGGGTAATGTGGTGATTCTAGCCTGTGTCTGCCTTAGCTCTTAGCAGAGCTAGAAGAATTGTACTTCCTGAGAATTCTACCTGAGATCCACCTTCAAATAGCTTCTTGGGAGACAAAGTCTGTACTATTATGGATTAGAAAATCGCAAAGTGGAAACTAAAGTGCCCCCAGGTTTTTCTGGTATCCCCAGACCTTAGCAGAATCAAAGACCACTTTCTTTGGAGGAATTCATTATAAACTCAGATCTCATATTAATTCTACAAATGTAATTCCATGCATATTAGTATACAATGAAAATAATAAAACACTATAGGTACAGAGCCACATATGAGATCACTAAAAATAGAATACTCAGAGTCATAGCAGCAAAGACTATGCATACTGGACTTATCAGACACCAATTATAAATATTTAATATTTTCAAAGGGGATGCAGGTTACTATCAAATGTACCATACAGCACAAGACTCTGCTAAAAATAACTAGTTTAGATTTCTAAAAAAGAACAAAAAGGGGTCTGAGAGGAAATATACAACTGTGAGAAAACTAACAGGCTGTTTACTGGGTTGGGGAGTTAGCTCCATGGCACAGTGTCTGCCTGGCAAGTGTAAGGTCCTGAGTTCAATTTCTAGTACACCCCCCAAAAAAACCCTCAACTGGACTGCTTACCTAGTAGTTTTAATGTAGTATGGAAAGTATTCATGATTGTAGCACCCCTCTAAAGCAGAGGGACACAGTTTAAAAACAAAAAGAGAGGAACATGGGAAACAGGACAGAGTCAGAGGACAGAATTTCAGTCTCCCTGGAGTTTTGGAAGGAGAGTGGAGAAGAGGAGAGAGATGATATTTGGAAGAAACAATAGTGGTGATTCTTGAACAGTGATGAAAAGCATATAATGTGAATTCTAGCATCTCTGGAAAACTCTTTAAAAGTAAATTCAAACTGAGATATAGCCCAGTGAAACAGAAGAGCCCCAAATGTAATTGTTAATCTAGAGTTCTGTACCATACAAAAAGCTTTGTTCAGGAAAAATTGCATAATACATGATCTTTAGCAGAATTTCTAGATTTCAGAAGGAAGATCTTAGGAGAAGTGAACAAAGAAGATGGTAAGTATGTAGGTAAATAAGAAAAACCTAATAAGCATTTTAAATATCAATGTCTAATTTGTAGGAGTGTTAAGCTGTTATGGTCTATGACTTGCTGTCCCCTGAGAGTCTCTTTATTTTAATTTTTATTTTTTGCAGTACAAGGAATTGAACTCAGGACCTTGCACTTGCCAGGCAGGTGCTTATGCAGCTGAGCTATCTCCTAAGAGTCTCATGTGCTCATAGGCTGAGCTTTGGAAGATGACTGGCTTATGGGGCTTAGAGCTGACTTGCTGTTGGGTGGTGGGGTCTGGTCAGAAGAATGGGGTCATGGGAGGAGTGGCTGGAATGGGTTTGCTACTCCCTCTCTCCTCTCTTGATCTCTCTGCTTCTGGCCTGCCAACACACAAGCAGATATTCCTCTACCACGCTACCCTGCCTTGGATCCAGGGACCTGTGGACTGAAACCTTTACAAACTGTGAGCCGGATAAACCTCTCTGCCTTTCATTTTTGAGTGTTAGATATTTTGCCTCAGAAACAAGGAAAACAAGTAAGATGGAAACTGAGTCTGTGGCTGGTCTTTGCTTTGATGCCAACAAAGCAGGCCAGGCGAGATGGAGTTACTCATGTTCACATACAATCAAATTAAACTTTGAGGTGAGCTGGTTTTTCAAAGCCAGGAAAATCTGATGAATCCCAGTCAGCATAAGAGGATGTCTCCTCTATTGAAACCCTACCCGGAAGTAATTTCACAATGACCAACAGGCATTTCTTCCCCGTTTCTGCTGTCCTAGCCCCTCTGTCTGTGAAGCCAGCTTCCTTTGCTCAGCTCTGCAGAACACCCATCTATTTTATTCTGCAATTGAAAATAAAAGCCAATTTGATCATTGCTACAATTTTTTCTTTCAATACAGGTAACAAAAGATCAAAGGAAGTTAAAGGGCTAGAAAACAGTGGCTTTCAAGATGAGAACATGTGGCCTCAACTAGTCTTTAAAGTCCCTTGAATAGTTGGGGGAAGGGAAAGTTTTTATCTTCTGACATTAAAAAGAACTACACTTTATACTGTAGAGAAATTACTAAAAGAATGGGAAAAGTTGTAATTTCCAATATACTTGAGAGAGATATGTAATTATTTATTTGAATAAGAAATTCAACCCTTTTAAGCTGTCAATATCTAACAGTATCCAATAGATAATTGTCTTTCAGAATGACCCATTTTAATCCTCTCTCTTTTCTGCCAGCTTTTCCTCTCTTCTCTTTTCCTTTCAGCATGCCCTGGGCCCCTAGCATAGAGTAGGGTTTGATTGGCGCAGTGGATTCAGAAATAATTGAGACATGTCCCTGTGTGTAAGCAGCTCAAGGGCCACATACTTTTCAGCTTCTCCAAAGAAAGGAAGATTCAAGCTCAGACAATAGCTTTGATCCTCACATGAGGATATAAGTAAACTTTCCAGGGAACTACTGTGGGCTGCGAGAGATGAGGAGGGCACTGGACCCCGAGCATTAGGCATGATAGTGGCTTTGCTCAGAGACTGACCTGTGCAGTTTTTATTGAATGGAAACCATACAGGATCATTGAGTACAGTTTAACATTTTCTTTGAACACAGTGATCGAGTTACCAAAATACAACACTAAGCCCCAATTTCTGCAGATGTGTCTTCCTTCTCCAACATGTATAGCATACTTACAATATGCTAAGGACTTGACATTTGTTAAGCCATTTCACTCTTTCAAGTGGTGAAGGAGGTGGAGACTAGTATATAATTTTAAAGATGGCAAAATCCAGGGTGAACTGATCAAAAGGATTTGTGCAAGAGCTGCTACCTTCATCCAGAGTATAGGAACTGGGGGATCCCTGCTCAAGTAAGTTAAGTAATATATAGGATTAAAGGAAGTTAATCATACATGTGTTTTTCAGATACTACATGGGTGCCTAAAAGAAGGTACAGTCTAACATTCCTAAATTGCACCGCTCCAGGGATGTAATCCAAATATGAATTTATTCTTGCCTTTTCCTGTCCCTCTACAGTCTCTTCAGGAGATACGTCTTAAAGAAGCTCCTGGATGAAAATTATAGTAGGGGAGTTTTTTTGATTGGTAATAAGATTTGGATTTTACTAGGTCGC